CGTGGTTACTTGTAAGTTGGAAGTGGATAAGCTTGTGCTACTGCACAAGTAAGCTCAACTGGTTCTCCCCCTTCAACATTGTACACGGTCCTAGTCTCTGAAAGTCGTGGCGTCTGCTTTATCTGTGGCTCTGCAGACGAGATTAAATCATGTCATAGGTTACTTTTAAATATTCGAGTTATTATTTTGAGAGATAATAAATCATTTTAATGACTTGTTTTAATCGAACAACAGCTATTCTTCATTGAATAACAAAGAAAATAATATCAACTTTATTTTTTATCCCATTTTTTTAGAAGTGCTGTGTGTTCGAAGACAAAGCTAATATAGGGCTATCTGCGCCAGCCGTCACTAACTTTGAATTGACTGAGGGAAGGCAGCTAGTCAATACCACTCACTACCAACTGTTCGGCTACTATTTTACCAACGAATAGTGGGATTGACCGTCACATTATAATGCCCCCACGGCTGAAAGGGCGAGCATGTTTGGTGACGGAGTTCAATCCAGCGACATATAGATTTCGGGTCGAGTGCCTAATCACCAGAACACGCTAGGCCTTACAAAGTTTTAGCACTAACACTATTAAGTCAGCTATATTTTAATGCTTTTAAACTTACGGTTTTAATATCAAAAACCCAGCGAATCATTATAAACCAATAAGCCTAAAAGTTTTTATAAAAATCACGTAAAGGCGGATTTGTTTTTCCACATTCCTCTTAATTTTTTCCATTTCGTATTGAATCAAAGGCCTGTATAAATAGCATTTCAGAGCTATTTTTTATCTCACGAGGCCTTTTGTTCAATACCATAGCTCACCAGTTAGTTTGGACAATGAGAGACAAATCTTTCCAAGAAAAACTTTCATCTACAACTAAATATTGAATTCCCTTCATTTGCATGAATTCGGATTTGAATAAAAGCATTTAAGCTGAATAATGCTGTAAAGTCTTACAATGGCTAATTCCCATAAGCTTGTAACATGGACTCAGTGGCTACTTTTGTAAGGATATTTGTATGGTTTTTGCCTATTGATCCCTAACTTGTTTCTGTACTTTTTGACATTGTCGTCTCTACATCATACTTATTTTTTTCAAAATCTTTTTTATTACTTATTCCCCCTTTTTTTAAACAATACCAATGAATATTTTATAATGATTGGCAGTCGCTATGAAGGCAGCAGTTTTAGACTGGCGGAATGAGTTGTTCTGATGGACATCATGTGTTGAAGTTAGTAAAACGTTATACTGCTTTTACACTCCCCAAGTTAAAATGCAACATTTTGGTGTTTGAATCATCACAACAACTTCTAGATTTGATGAACTAGCCCTTCCGATGTCAGAACCAGAATAATCAGCAGAACATTTGGCTGTAACGCTACTCACCGGTTCTCTACTTTACTGATGTTTTTTGACTAAAACCGAAAGTCTTAATAGCTTTTGAAAACCTAAGTTAGGTGTTCATAAAAGATTTGAGACTATGACGAGCTATACATAATATGCGTCGGCCATCTTTTTCCCGGCTAAGCTTACTGCGCTTAGTGATAATAATTGAGTTCAAAACTCTAAACTTCAAATCAAAGATCATTGGTTTATGATTCTAAATCTGGGATTTGATCATTGAAGTAAGCACATCATATTGATCAGATTTAGGCTTAAACAGAACAAACTGAAATCACAGATTAAAAGGCAGCCAGCCAATGTTATTAAATATAAAGGAAATAAGAATAATTTTTACATAAATATTTTAGTTATACACCGAAGTACTTGTAACACAATTATATAATTATGTATTTTCTTCTTTAACAACAAATATATATGCTAATTCACCATAAATCTGATTTGTAAATTACCTAAATGAAAAAATATAATAGTTATAATTCAGTTGCTTGGCCAAGTAGTTAGAATGCTTGACTCACAACCTGAGGGGCGCGAGTTCGAATCCCCACCCCACCAAACATGCTCGCCCTTTCAGCTCGCGTTATAATGTGACGGTCAATTCCACTATTCGTTGCCTTCCCTCTAGTCTATCACTGACAAATTAGGGACGGTTAGCGCAACAGCCCTCGTGTAGCTTTGCTCGAAATTCAAACCAATTGCTTAATTTGATTAACGCTATAATAGTGGAGGTGTTATAATGTAACAGTCAATCCCACTATTAGTTGGTAAAGAGTTGATAACGAGCTGCCTTCCCTCTAGTCTTTCACTGCTAAATTAGGGACGGCTAGTGCAGATAGCCCTCGTGTAGTTTTTTGCGTGAAATTCAAACCAGTTGTTTAATTACATTAAGTTGTTGTTTATGAAAATTCATAATAGACGTAGTGTCTACTCAACTACTATGTCTGTTGTAACCCAGCCGGCCTGAAGAATTCTGGTATCTGGTGAAAGGCCTCTTCGGCCACTGGATACAATAAATGTAGTGTGGTTAACATAAGATTTTATATTCTCCTTTGCTTTTGCTCATGGGGTCTTAGAACAGATGAATATTGAGAAAAAAAAAGTGGGCTTTAAAGAATTCTGATCTTTGAAGACATAATATATACAAATATATTTTGAAAATAATAAAACTTGTAAAATGAAACTTGCAGTCTCATAAGAAATATTTATGTATTTTTATTTTATTTTTGAGATCTGAGAGTGATTTTTTTCCCACTAAACATGATGTAAAAGCTGCGTACAATAAAAATGATAAATGAGATGAAAATAGAACGTATAAAAATCTTGTAATAATGATACAGAAAAATAGGTTGAGTGATGGGTATATAAATATGATTAAACGTTTATCCTACCAACATCTTTATAGGAATGGTTTGATTTGGTTGATGTTAAGCACAAAGCTACATAATGGGATATCTTTGTTCTGCCCACCACAGGTATCGAAACCAGATTTTTAGCGTCGTAAACCTGAGCAACTGAGGGGGAGGGAGGCTTATGAAAGTGCAGATAAACGTTTGGCAATTGTTAAAACATTAAAGTCCACACACACATCAAATATTTCAAAAAGTTAAAAAACAACATCTCGTTCAGGTTTACTAAAGTTTACACTACTATTACTATTTAAACAACTGTTACAAATAACAGTTTGAGTGTAAGTATTTACCTGTAATTATCAGGGTTCCTGAATTTTGGCTTAGCTGGGATTCTCCACTCAGTAAGTGAGTGGTACGACAGAAATAGCTTTTATATCCATCTTCATCCGTAGCATTCCGGATATGAAGCTCCCCATGGGAAAGAACACTGAAGCGCCCTCCTACGTCAAGTTTAAAAACAATGGAAACTATTAAGATAAAGACATTATATAACTTATAGTTATGGTTTACTGAGCAAACGGTTGTTATTTCTCTCTTTTATTTACAGTTAGAAACCAGTCGGTGAATCCAGTACAGTATGAATATATCACTACAGTATGAATATATCAGTGCAGTATGACTATATCAGTACAATATTAATACATCAGTGCAGTATGAATATATCAGCACAGTTTTAATACATCAGTACAGTATTAATACATCAATTCAGTATTAATACATCAGTACAGTATGAATATATCAATGCAGTATGAATATATCAGTGCAGTATTAATACATCAGTACAGTATTAATATATCAGTACAGTATTAATACATCAGTGCAGTATTAATATATCAGTGCAGTATGAATATATCAGTGCAGTATTAATATATCAGTACAGTATTAATACATCAGTGCAGTATTAATATATCAGTACAATATTAATGCATCAGTACAGTATTAATACATCAGTGCAGTATTAATATATCAGTGCAGTTTTAATACATCAGTACAGTATTAATACATCAGTGCAGTATTAATACATCAGTGCAGTATTAATACATCAGTACAGTTTTAATACATCAGTACAATATTAATACATCAGTGCAGTATTAATACATCAGTGCAGTATTAATACATCAGTGCAGTATTAATACATCAGTACAGCATTAATCTTAGATGTAGATGTAGCTTCTTTGTTTGTTGTTGTTGTTTTTAGTAAAACCATTATTGGAGGTTTTGTTGAACTTGGAATTATTTTCAAAATCCTATGAATTTAAATATGCCCAGAAAAAATATCATTTTAAAGTTTTTCTAATCAATAAGAAAACGTTATTTAATTATATATATATATAAACATATAAAAGAATATATTGCTCATTTGTTATTAAGCACAAACTACACAATGGTCTAGTTGTCCTATGCCCGCCACGTGTATCGAAACCTGATTTTTAGAGTTATAATCCTTCAAACTTACCATTGAGCCACGAAGGAGCAGAAGCATATTAAAAAAGGCACTCAAACGTATATTTTATAATGTTAATACAAATACAAAATACAGCTTCCATATTACATAATACAGCATATTAAAAAAAGGCACTCAAACGTATATTTTATAATGTTAATACAAATACAGCTTCCATTACTTATTTATTTGAAATATTAATTATAAAATAAAAGTTGGTCAAAGGCTTTAACTCCGCTGGATTTGCTAATAACTAGCTTTGTATTTAACGAAAACTTGATTTATAAAAGGCCTATAACAGTGACAGTGATTTGAAAGTTTGTTAGTAAAATCCCAGACGAAGCTACATTAATCCAGATTAATTTGTCCATGTTCTAAAATCATGTTGGAAGACTTCATGATTTCATTTATCTTAATTCCTCCATAATTTGTAGCTGTCGGACGTGTCTAAGATCCTAAGAACCAAAGATTTCACAATACGAGTTCTAGTCATGGCAACTGTAATCACGTGCCCTGTAATTTCATTTAGAAACAGTCGCTGCAAACCCTAGAGACAATTAAGCCCTTATTAGATGTTTCAGGCAGATAATTAGAGCTATGTAAAATGATAATACGTATATATATGAATATTGTTTCAACCAGAGAACTGCCGACCGTATTATGATTGCAACAATTGTATCTATCTCATCAGTCATTTAATGATATATATATTCCGTATTATATAGATATATGTGTATATTCGAGACGTCTGTGGCTAACACATATTCACACACACACAGCGAACGTATTCATAATTTTGCGCGTATTTTCGCTGATTAGAAATTCGTGTACAACATTAATAAGACTTTGTTAGGAATGTCTATTCCTCTGTGCACGATCTCCCCCTAGTGTAAACTGTGTTATAGATTTTGCGGTTTGCTTGTGTACACACTTGTAAGACCTCTTCTCCATTACATCTTACGTCGTTTCAAAAGCTAACACAAAGCGACACGAGTTAAAGTTTCAAAAATCCTTTAATATCCAAGATCCGTTCCCACGAGGCGCTTATTAGCAACAAGAGATAACACCGCAGCATTAATATAATTACGTTTTCCTTCTCTAGAGTCGGCAAGTCGATACTGTTCGGTTCCAAATTAACCCGAGAAAATAGAGTTAAAAAAAATACATAACATAACGAGATGGTAACGTCGTTCATTACTGTGTAGAATATTCGGTACTAATTTTTAATTAGTTAAAAAATATGTCACTAGAGTAAGTTCTAATTTGAATATTTTTAATTTAGCTTTAATTTTGATTTATTAATAGCCTTTTTTTTTTCTACACTGTTAGATATCATAATACACTAAGTTAGAAATGTGTGGGCTTTTCCAATAGCAAAGCCACATGACACTATCTGCTATCTTCACCGAGAAGAATCGAACCCCTTATTTTAGCGTTGTAAATCCATAGACTTACCACTGTCCCATCGGGTGAGTGACTAGAAGTATGAGCAGCAGTATAAAGAAAATAGTTATTCACAAAATAATAGTGTAAGAAAAAATAAAAAATGAAATAGCTGCCGGAATATAAATTAATAATTCATAAAATTTTAAAGAGACAAAAAGAAGTTTATTTGCACATCAAGAATGTCCCTTCCATCTCCCAACTATAACCAACCCTTCTCATGTATTCATCCAATCTTTTCTTGAACTCAGTTAAATGTTTGCCTCCACCACTCTTGAAGGCAACTCATTCAAAACCCAACCACCCTCTTTGAAAAGTAATACTGTCTAAGCTGCAGACGATTCCTACGCTGCCAAAATTTGAACTTATGATCCCTTGTATTATTGTTTTCACTGCTAAACACAAAACATGTTTGATGAATCTATATTAGCAATACCCTTAATAATCTTAAACACCTCAATCAAATCCCCTCTGACCCTTCTCCTCTCCAGAGAAAACAAGTTTAAAGATTTTAGTCTCTCCTCATAGGACAATCCCACCATCCCAAGTATCATCCTAGTGGCTCTTCTCTGAACCCTCTCCAATAATGCAATGAGGAAGGGAGCCCAAAACTGTACACAGTACGCTAAATGATGCCTTACAATTGACCTATACAGTGAAACAATAATAACCCTGTGCTGTATATTCAATATTTCTATAGATGCCACCCAAAATTCTATTAGCCCTATTGCTAGCTACAATGCCCTGTTTAGATGACTTGAGTGATTTTTCAATCACAACACCAAGATATTTTTCTTCAACCACAGTATTTAGAGTATTTCCATTTAAATTGGAACAATAATCTGAATTGTGCAAACCTATATGCATCACCTTACATTTTGGATAGTTAAACATCATCTGCCACGTATTGGCCCAATACATCAAGTGATCTAAATCTCCCTGTAAGTTTGCAGCATCTTTGATACAGTTAGCCACCCCAAAAATCTTAATATCATTTGCAAACTTCAACATTTTGTTAGCCATTCCAGAGTCAATATCATTAACATAAATCACAAACAGCAAAGGATCCAGTACAGAGCCGTGAGGCACACCGCTTGTAACTGTGATCCAGTCACATCTAACTCCATTTATTACTACTCTCTGCTTTCTACTCTCCAGCCAATTTTCTATCCAATTTAATAACATTACCCCCACACCCACAGATTCAATTGTTCTAACACGTCTTTTGTGAGGCACCTTATCAAACACTTTCAGAAAATCAAGGTAAACCAAATCCACAGTATTTCCTTCATCAACTCTTGCACTAATATCCTCAAAGAATGTCAGAAGATTTGTTAAACAAGACTTTCCCTTAATGAAACCATTCTGGCTCTTTGACACTATATCAAACTGCTTTACGTGTCTCTGCAATACATCTTTGATCACACTCTCCAAAACCTTTCCAACTACTGGTGTAAGACTAACTGGCCTATAATTGCCTGGACAATGTTTATCACCTCCTTTAAATATTGGACTAACATTAGCCAACTTCCAATCTTCTAATACTCTTCCACTACTCAATGGCCGATAAAAAATATCAGCTAGTGATTCACAAATAAAATCTTTAAGTTCCTTTAAAACTCTATGATAAAAGTTGTCTGTTCCAGGGGATTTATAAATTTTTTGGTTTCCCAATTTTTCTCTCACAATTTCAGAACATCAATATTTTCCCCATACGTTGAGTGGTCTGGTTGAGGTATAATACCTGTATCTTTAATAAGTTTAACATCTGATAATCTTCCGAGATCAGCTCCCCAATATCATTTTAAGAGGCCCAATCCCCATACTACCATTTTGTTTACCCATCATATACCTAAAGAATTCCTTATTGTTTGATTTAACTCTCTCAGCCAACTCTCTTTTATATACAGTTTTTACCCTTTTAAATTCATTTTTATACAGTTCTCTTGGTTTTCTATAGTCCTCCAAGTCATTATTATTTCCAATAAGTTTAAATTTCTTGAATTTATTATGTTTATCCCTAATATGATCTCTTAAACCTTTGCTAAACCATAAGTATGTTCTGTATGCATATCAATTTATCCCTAAATACTTCTCACATCTGTTCAAAATTCCCTCCCAACTCTTTTTTCCAATCTACAGAAGTCAGATCATTAAAATAGGCTTTCCTAAAATTAGAAATCATGGTACTATTCATCTTCAATTCTACATGTAGTAAAATCCCACACCTAACAGTGCAATGGTTGCTTCTATTTAAATGCTCACCAACCACAACTCTGTCTATCATATTCACATCAGATGCTAATATTAAATCTAATATAGCTTCCCCTCTTGTAGATTCCATCACCAGTTGGTGTATAAAAGTATCCTGAACAATTTCCAAAAACCTATCCCCCTCACAGTCAAACTAACTTTTCCCGATCAATACCCCTGAAATTATTATCTCCCATCATAACAATATAATTTTCAGCTACCGTTCTGATCTCATTATACAGTTTCTCATGAACTTCCACATTCTGACCTGGTGGTCTATAACAAATCCCAATTACAAGACTTTTCCCCCTTTATATCTACTAACATTAACCCAAATTGATCCAACCTCAGTGCTACTTTCTTTAATATGCTCTAACTCAACAGGATGCAATTCAATCCTCACAAATAAAGCTTTTCCTCCCCTTTTTTCAATACTCTATCTCTAGTAAATAATCTGTAGCCTGGTATTTCAAAAAACAAATAATCTCATCATAATTGTTCAAATCCAACCAAGTCTCAGTGATACCCATAATATCAAAATCCTCAGTTTCTACAACTGCTTTAAACTCATCAATATTATTTCTAATACTCCTAACATTACAATTAGTAACAATTAATCATAGATTTTAGAATATGTTCATGTTTTATACCTGTTTTCCTGTCAGTTATATTTCCTATTTTACTAATACCATAGCCCTCACCTCTGTCTAGCCCTAGATTAAATTTACCACTACAGTTGAGTTAATAGCCCTTGCTAACATGCTAGCCCCTGCCTTGTTTTGGTGTAAGCCGTCCATTCCAAAAATATTAACTTTCCCATTAAATTATCCGACAAATCCAACCAGCCTATTTGTTCATCTATAAATATTCATCAAAGCCTGGCATTCAGTCCTAGTGACCTACTTTGTATCTTATCCCCACAATTTATTCGGAGCCCAATTGTATTAAAACTGCACGTAGTTTAATTTTATCCCAATTATATTAAAAACACGTGTAGGTAAGTTTTAGCCTAATTATGTTAAAACACACACACACGCATATATATTAACCTAATTATATTAAAAACACACGTAGTTAACTTTTAACACTTAATTATATTAAAAATACATGAAGGTAAGATTTAGCCTAATTATGTTAAAACACACACACGCGCATATATATTAACCTAATTATATTAAAAACACATGTAGTTTACTTTTTCCTAATTATATTAAAAACACATGTAGTTTACTTTTCCTAATTATATTAAAAACATGTGTAGTTTACTTTTAGCCTAATCATATTAAAAACACACGTAGTTAAATTTAATAAATGCCTTGATTTTAAACCTTTAACGCAGATGATATGTATTTGCTGTACTAATTACATGCAAACATGGACACCTAACTTTGTTTAAAAATGATGGGAAGGGCAAGGGGAAGGAATAACTGGTGAGTGAAACGAACCAAAAATGTTTTTGCTAAATAAAAAATTAGGGTGGCACATGCCCCTTTCTTCCCACCAGGTTGTTGGGTTGAATGTATAATACTGGTACCACTAATTCAAGTTTGAACTCTTTACTTCATGAATCGATAATAGTCACTAATTAGGCCTAAAAAGTAAATATTGAACCAACATGTAAAAGTTTACTGCGACTGTGCCTTATTATCTTTCATTTACAAATAGTATGGATCTATGGGATAATACGGTTCACTAATAATAAGTTTCCAAATATTTGTTTTTTCAATGAGCTGTATATAAAACAGGATTAACTCACAAAATTATACTTGTATAACAATAGTTCAACAACTGTTATAATCGGTATCCAAGGTAGAGGACATTGTATGGGTGTTTTTTCTGTAGAAGTCTATCTTTAAGTGGGGGCAAAATAGAAAAATATATTTACTTATATGATGTAGTCTCCGTCAAAAATATATATTTACATGTTTAAAACTTTTAACATGCTGTCAAAGAATGTTTTGTGTTTACTAAGTTATATATGAGTACACATACTCTAGTTGTATATGAGTACACATACTCTAGTTATATATGAGTACACATACTCTAGTTGTATATGAGTACACATACTCTAGTTGTATATGAGTACACATACTCTAGTTGTATATGAGTACATATACTCTAGTTATATATGAGTACACATACTCTAGTTATATATGAGTACACATACTCTAGTTATATATGAGTACATATACTCTAGTTATATATGAGTACACATACTCTAGTTGTATATGAGTACACATACTCTAGTTATATATGAGTACACATACTCTA